TAGATGTGGATATGCTATGTTCTGAAGAGAGTTTTGTTCGCTGTGTGCACACCAAATTTGATTTTCATAGCTTACCACAAAGAGCACAATGAATTTGTCCTAAGCCATCATATGAATGCAGTGCAAATTTGTCCTATGCCATTGCATGCTCGCAATCAGTTTTTCAGATCAATAACATATCCTTGGCAGATCGTGGAGTATACCGATGTGTTGCGAGGAATGTGGCTGGTCGTGACGAACTTCTGTATAATGTCGCAATTGTCCGTAAGATATTTTTCAAATCTCATCATAAGATAACACATAACGAGAAGATGTGCATTCAAATTATGCCCAGTATTCCTTGAAAAAGGACCGGAGCTATTGGAATTGGATACGTTTGATCTGACTGTTGAACTGCACATGCGAAAACATTCAATTTCGAACATAAATCCATTAGAGAAGGACATGTAAATATAAACTACTGAAAACTAAACTGTATGAATGAAGCCGTTTGCATTGCGTCTGTTCAGCGTAATAAATTATTTAATTGTAAGGAGAAATATTAAGAAAATTTCAAAAACGTCCAATAAACCTGCACACTGAGATTTCAGAAGCTCCAATCATTCTGAATGGTGGAACGCAGCAAGTGATCGAAGGTGAGGTGGCAAAAATTACTTGTAATGCTTATGGTGAGCCAATACCGGTTATCACGTGGCAGAGGAATGGAGTTCGTGTTGAGACCGGTATGCGGTATATCGCTGAGGATAAGGTGAGTCTGCAGATTTCAAGTAGTATGCACGATCTGCGTGTGTGGAAAGGATAAATGACGGTCATTTCCACATAACTGCATTCAAATTTTGCATTTAAAATACTCCTGTGATTCTATTGTATGTTGTGTTTTATTCGCAACTCATGATTTTCTTCACACTCATTCCATTTCAAACATTGACTGTATTGTCGTCAAAGCATAGTATTGTTTTTAAAAAATAATTTCCACAATATTTTCCGCTTCAACGCAGTCAGTGTGGTTTAATATGAAGCGAAAACATTGCTGTTTATAATCATTCATTACTCGTATCTGTTTATTTTCAGATATTAACCGTTATCGAAACCAGGAGTTCTGATTCCGGAATTTACGTTTGTGTTGCAACCAACGAGGCGGGCACCACTCAACAGGCATTCACTCTTGAAGTTCTTGGTAACAAAAACTTACATTTGCTTATCTTCATCGCTTCATGTTTTTAATTCGCTCACAATGCTCATTCGAATCAAAGTCAAATCTTGTGCGGGATTCATCGCTTTCATTGAACACAACCCAAATTAAATCAAACTGTAGCATTTCAATGACCGAATTGGAAAGGGGCGATTTTTAGAGCATATTACAGTGATGCGTTTGAATGATATGTTCAGCTGAGTGTTTGAGCACTCCTCTACCGAACTAGTGCAATAAACAATGCCCAACATTTGTCATTTGAGTTTCACCGCGAATCGTAACACGTCGCCGAATGAATCGGTGGTGCCAATCAATAATCCGTTCTCATTGAAATGCGGTGCTCGTGGCTATCCGTATCCTGAAATCACGTGGACTATTGACGATCAACCAGTTGAGGAAGAACTTAAAGGGCGATTCTCGATTGGTTTATTTTTTT